ACTTGAACAGGTGCTCGGAGGGGTTCTTATCGTCCATTGTTGCCCGAGAAGATTGCAGGGCATCATTTCGGATTCCAACACGACGGGACTGGCAACATTTCTAGGTGGATCTACAACACACACAATATGTATGTATGCTGTCCAGTAGCGAATCCTAGGGGAAAACATGCTTTCCGTAGGCTTAACGTTCTATACAGAGTTCCGTTTCGTATTCGTAGTACTAGTCCCAGGAATGATGCATATTCTTCGGTATTGAAGAATGAAACGTCGCACCCGGTCGATCGTCTCCTGTCGCAAGAGGCGTGATTCAAAAGGGGACGATTGTATGGGGTACGTCTAAACGAATCCTCTTCCATTCCTGCGATGAGCGTATCGCTCTCGACCATACGACTGGAAGGGCTGAAGTTGAAGTCGAGGGACCCTTCTGCTGACTGTCGGCACTCCTTCACAGGCAAACGTGAGAGTTGTCTGGCTGCTGTAGGATCCCACTACCGGTACCGTATGCAACACTGACCTATGGCTCCTATTTTAGCTACCGGTAGCTACCATAGTAAGACAGCTGGTACCGGTACCGGTACCGGTACGGGTACCAAGCCCCCTAGCTAGTATTGGTAGCAGGATTTAAAATTTGCCACGGCTGACTCGACTAAAAAGCTGGAATTGATTGTGAAGATTTTTAAAAAGGATACTAGTAGTGGTTTCAAGCGATTGTCTATTTGTGTTGGCTCCTTACTATTGCAATAACATCGTGCCAGATAGAGAAAAACGGTTCGGTCTTTTCACTTCAAAATGACTTTGGTTAAATCTCGGAGAGCACCAACGCTGGTTGCCACGATTGAGCAACTGTCAAGCGTCAGCACGAAGGTCAGCTCCGCAGCTCCAACTCCGCAGCTCGGCAACAAACACCATCCAAGCAATCTAAAGACGACCAGGTACTCTGGAGAGGCCAGGAAGTGTGTTGTTGGGTGTTGTTTAGTACATGTAGTACAGAGCATGAAATCAGTGCTCATCGGTGGCTCAGTCTCCTCTCGTCACATGTCGTTTTTCAAAATTCTCAATCTGGCAGAATCTGTCATCCCAATTTGGAGGTCGAAAAATGGGATGTCACCATGATGAGCTCACTTTTTTGTTCAACCGGATTGCTAGAGTTGCATACCCAACCGAACAAGGAAGATTTGCGATTGTTGATAAGCCTAGGCCAGATCAACCCCCCAGACCTTATTCAAGTCTACTTTTACCTTTTCTACCAATCTTCTATTCAATACCTATCAATTGCAAAATGAAGTTCTCTTCTTCTATCATCAAGCTGCTCACGTGGTCATGGACCACCGACAACAACAACAACAACAGCAACACCAAGAAGACCCCCGTTCTCCAGGTCGACAAGGAGATGACGGGCAACAACAACAAGGATGTTCCTGTGGCAGAGGAATTCCCAATGAAGTTCCAACTGGACGAGTTGGACAAGACATGCGTCGAAACCGCGGCACTGTTGCACACAGATGGAACGCATCCTGATGTGGAATTCCAGCAGCACGGTCGCTACCTAGGTGCCTACGACCTTTCCCTGGTTCCTGTGGATCAGCGTGGTCACTACGGATACGACAAATACAACCAGCACCGGCCCAAAGGCTGTCGCATCCAACCCAGTCAATCAGCCAACGCTCGCTGGAAGACCCATTACGGTCAAGACACCGAACGGAGCCATGGAAACCGTTTATCCTTTGCTCCCGTCAACACTGTAGTGGGGTACTCTTCTGACGAGAGCGAACAAGCTGAGAACCGTCGTGTCTATCGAGACATGAACAAACATGTGCCACAGGCCCGATACGAATACTGGCAGGAAGCCCAACAACAATTCATTTCCGTCGGCACACCCACACCCCACGAACGCGTCTTGGATCTCGTGCAGTTGATTCAAGAGTACGGATACCAACAAGTGGACAAATGGATCACCAACAACAAATGGTTCCAAAGCGACAAAGCATATCTAAAACAAGCCAAACTGTACATTCAAATTGATGCCGTCCATCAAGACCTCGAGGGACTTGTTCGTTTTATCCAGGCGAAGAAAGGAAACGACAAGCAAGTCTCACATTGGTTCATGGTCAACGAAAAGAACCCTTACATGTTCGAACTCGCCATGTGCCACTTGCACCACGGAGGAATTCAGCGCAACGCTGACGACGAAATTTGCACCTTGAATACGCGAGAACAGATTGCCAAACGACGAATTGTCTATCGCAAGGTCAAGGACGTCTGCATGGAAGATGCAGCACCCGTAGTAGTAGAACAACAACCAACAACAACTAAAGACGTCGAGGCAATAGAAAATGTCTCAACCGTCGACGACGACAACAAGATGGCATCCGATGCCACAATCACATGCGAAGCAGGGGTGGTTCCCACATGCACAGCAGTGGTACCATACATTCAAAAGTGGCATGTGAAACACTTCAAGATCAGTGTGCATGGACAACAACCATTTGTATTGGAGATGCGAATGATGAGTGGCGTGCTACTTGGAGTGGTACCCAACAACATTCTCGCAGCATTGATGAATGATTGTGGAGACCTTGTCAAGGAATTGATGCGGCAGCACAAGACACTACGATTGGAGGCAGGCGTTGCCTCAGACGATATGGATTGCGAAGTCGTGACTGGCCAAGTGGAGGCTGAAGAACCACTTGATGAGGAACAACAACAGCAAGTTGATGCTGAAGAACCACTGGTCGACAACCGAGTCGATGAGGAGGACAATGTGGACACAGCACAATCAACTTTGCGACGGTCAAAGAGACGCATGGCGGCAATTGCATCTCAGAGAATCGCAGAACAAGTCAAGGCAAAGCCCCGGCGGGTGGCAGAACAACCTAGAATTAAACGTAGACGCGCGGCGGCCACGAAGAAGAAGTCGACAAAGCCAAAGGCGAAGGGCAAGAAGAAGACGACACAACCTGTGACGGAAACACAGCAGCAAACAACAGTTCAGACAACAACAACAACGCTTTCTGGACGACGAGTCAGAAAGCCTGACCGGTACATTCCAGTCTAGGACAACAGGTAAGTAAGTAAGGGGGGCGACGACGGAGAGGGGGCTACTAACACATGAATACAATACACAAAGAGCAAGCATCTGGTGGGGTGCAGGGCTATACAACAATTTTTTGCGGAGATGAATACAGTTGGTTCAATTGAAGGGTCACATCGAAGGTAGCCAGGTTTGTGGTTCCTGTGCTAGGCAGCCTCTATTGCAGAGTGCTTGTCCGAACGTCCTCCACGCGACGAAAGTCCAAAGTTAATACCCGTGACACCCGACAACCAACCTCTATCATTGTTGATGCTACAATCTTTAAAAAATACAACCAAAACATAAACATAGAACAATAACACATAGTAGACAATCTTTACAAGAACAAAATACGTGGCTTCATTCTTTATAGTAGTTATAGTTGTACTAGCTAGTTGTAGTTCACAATCATGACAGCGTCCATTGTAGCGCATGTAATTGTTCTGGCATGCAATTGGTTGTCGTGACCATGCATGTGCACGATGCCATCTCTCGCTGCATGAACGTTGCATTGGCGGAGAGAGTAAGCAGTGAATTAATTGCCAACCTCGTCCAGTCATGAAACGAGCTAGCCAGGCGTAGTTCTCTGGATGATACCCTGACACAATGAATGCCACGGGTCAACTTCATCCAAAACTTGAAAATAAATGAAGGCCTCGTTTGGTTGGTCTCTGACCAGTAGTACGGCAGGAGAGATGTGGATCAAGAGTTGTATTTCATATCCAGGTTTTGTCGCACATCAAAAACGGCCACTCTGGCCTGCATGAAGGAAGGATCATCATCGTGACCCTGCAAATCTAGAAAGCTCACAATGGCAGTACCACGACTTGGAAAGGTTACAGAGGCATCTCGGCCATGTCCGGCAAGTCCACCACTGACGTCAAAGACTCGGAATTGCACGCACAAAACATCCAGACACTGCATCACCCGGAGGCAACCCTTTTGGGGCGAAGATTGGACAAAATACACCAAGACCGGGCAGCCATTCCATCCCAGCTGGAGTTCCGGAAACCCACCGGCGCCAAAGTCCGTAAAGTCTCCGTTGTACGCATGGGCGTCGACCAATCGTGGTGGGCCACACGGCGAATTGACGCTTGAAAGACTATTGCAATATGTGACAAATAGCGAGTGCTGTTCCAAATCAAAAAAGGTTACGACAAGAGCATTGCTCTTCGGGATCACTACCATGCGTGCCCAGGCACCAGGATTGTAGAATGCGCCAAAGGTTGTGGTGTTGTCGACGATTGAAAAGGGCATCGCCTGCATGTGGAATTGCCCTACGAGCTTGCGGTTGGTAATGTCCCAGTATGCCAGAGCCTGACCTGCCAAAAGCGGATTGTCCAGTCCTGTCACTGGTAGGGACGTAGTGTCGTCGATGTGGAACGGCTCAGACGCATGACGCAGTATTTCGATTGGAAGAACCTGCATCGTTTTCAGGTTGACAACAAGGCCCGCCAGATCGCATCCACTCGGATTGGATACTGTAGCCGGAATGCGTACAAAAGGTCTGCTCTCCAAAAGCTGCTCGTCAAAGTAAAGAATCCTTTGTCCTCGTAGAATTGTCACTTGCTCAAAACTCTCAGGTAGTGGAAGTCCTACAAAGTGTCAAGACAAGTGCACGACCTTCGTTCGCAGTGTGACAAATGACAGGGTATCGCCCCTTCCACAATTCCATTCGAATGAACCTGGGGTTTTCTTCTCCAATGGGAATGGTGTGTACTGGCGTGACCCAATTTGTGGTGTCGGTACAGGGCCAGCTGCATTGCGAGAGCATCAACCCGGAGTCACCGCATTCCAGACAAAGCTGGTAATGTTGGAACCTCGTATCGTTCGGGCTTGTGTGTAGCGTCCTGCTCCGTTGTCTAGAGTTTTCAGCGAGGTCAAATTCCACGCGCCATCTTCGCTCCCTGAGTCGCCGCCACGCAATATGCAAGCAGAAAGAGGATCCATTGCATGATCATCGTGGGCACTCTCATTCTGCCTGCGTGGCTATAGTCTCTTGAGATCATTCCATCTTTTTAAAGCAACGCGTAGGCAACCAACGAATAGGCTCCTTGAAACCTCTTCATGAAGAGAGAAAGAATAATGGAACCGACTGATTCAATCATTCAAATCATCGTCCCCACCGGGACTTTGTGTGAGCAAGAATTACAGCAGAGCCGACGACAAAAGAGGTGAGTTCAAGTTCTCCTCGCCATTTTCAGGCGTGACATTCCCTCTAACCCGTCCGGGAGAACAAGACGAGGTCTCTCTTGCATTTCCA